CCTTCCCTCTAGTCTTTCACTGCTAAATTAGGGACAACTAGCGCATACAGCCCTCGTGTAGCTTTGCGCGAAATGCAGCAACAAACAAAACAAAGTTATAAGCCTCTTTAGGGTATATATGGATGGGTTTTGTACGCGAACTTCCATCATCATAGTGAAAACAGGAGGTGCAACAGTCTGCAGTTTAATTTCGTGATATAGAGTAATAAACAAGTAAAAACATGTTTCTCTTGATTTACTTATATATTCAGAAGCTCCTCTAATGAAAAAACAAAAGAAAACGCGACTTCATGACTTTTAAAACGAATTATGCACAATATCATGAACAGTGAACCATGCCGAACTCTGTAGCTTATTGTCTGATAATTTTGTTACAGTAGTCCCAGCTTATTCCTTTACCCAAGCAACCTCGTGTGAAGATATATTTGCCGAAAATTACATATCAAAGTTGGATTCAAAAGTGTGGTCCAAGAAATGATTCTCGCAGACCGCTATCGAAGAAAGTCTAGAGATCATCAAGAAGATGGAGCTTTGTGTGATGATGACGACAGTGGTAGCAAGCTATGGCCAGAGAACTGTTTAACCAAACCGTTATATCAATAATCAGTTGTTGTTCTGTTATGTTTTTTGGAAAAGTGAAATTTGTCGAAAGGACTTCTTTATCTCTGTTAACATTTCAGTTTGTACATAATTTGTGTGTATATATATATATTTAACTTTTGTAATTATACATCGTGTAAGTTCATACATTACAATCTATAACATTAAGGTCTTCGTGCAATAAAAGAATAGAGAACCATAGCTTTTAATGATTTTAACAAGATGATGACTTTGGTTTGATTTTGAAGTCAACTAAAAGATGAGCAGTACAATGCTCCTTCAAGGACAAACTCGCTTTGTAGGTTTGGTTTTTGTGCTAATCCACTGGCTTGTGGTTGAAACCTTTCAAACGGGAAAATTTACGAAGAAAGGAAAAAGTTAGTAGTGTTTGTGTACTATATTTTTAATTAGATATAAGTTATCCTGTCCATCATAAGACATTATTAGAAGGTTCCAAACATTTTACTTATTTTTTCATCAGTTGTTGGCATCAGATGGCATCCTTCAGTAAACTGGTTAGTTGGTGCTGTTATCTTTTACATTTATTTTGAGCATCTACAGGTTTTAGTACAATGTTGTTTTAGTACTCTGTAAAGCTAGGCAGATCCTCCCAAGTTCTTGCAAGTCTAGTCACAACATATTAGTAAAATAAGGCATTTCATTGAATAACATGAAACGTTTGACTAAAAATAATGTATACTCGTCATATTCCAGTGTTGTTTTTATTTTTTCGAGTTCAGAAATCTTAGTTTAGTTCCCTTATCACCTTACTAATGAAGGTAAGTTTTTGTTTGTTAGTGTTTAAGCGCAAATTTACATAAAGGATGTCTTCGCTGTGCCAACCACGGGTGAGGACCCCCCCCCCCCATTTTCTTTTAACATTATAAATCCTCAAGCCTTCCAGTTGAGCCTTCGGGGGCTGAATTAATAGAAAACTATCAATACGGTATTAAATAAAATATGTTAATAGAAAGAGCAATGACAGTCCCTTATTAAAATATAGCATACAAATAACCTTGTTTCAGAATTGATTTTGTATAAAGAAAACATTATCACGCTTAGCGCCATTCTGATGCATTCTTGTTGAAGTTAACCATGATTCAGTTTTAAGTTTATATTATAATGTGATTTTTATATTATGATACTCCCTTGATATGACTATTATTGTTTATCAAATATTGTATACTGGTAACGAGAATACATGCTCACCGTTACATTTCAAGTAACAACGGGTTTGTCATGCTCAGATGTAGTTCTCCACAAATTATATAAAATGTGTACTCATGTGAATAGGGTATTAGTTATAAACTTTCTATCACGTTTAACATATAAATAGGTAAGAGAGATTTGTATTTTAACATTAAGTGGGCGACTTCCAGTTTGTGATATAAATCTCTGAATTATTCTTTGTAATTGGTTCAGTACATCTTTCGATCAGATATAAAGTGAGTGTTATTATTTTTGTATTTTAGTAATCTGTCAAAATAATGAATTATTTAAGTATCGGGGTAACGTATACTCCTTATGATAATTTTGAAACTCTTTTTTTATATAGCAGTTTTTACAAAATTTTTTTTTTTACCAAATTCTTATACTTTGCTTGCCTATAAAAAATTAAAGAGATTAATTTCCTAAAATATGTGTAATGTTACATAAATTCCCAAACAAAATTAAACTCGCAAGAAATGGCATTTAGAATAGTTACATTTTATTGGATTAAATAGACTGAGAAGTGAAAACATAATATTTAAAATTTTTTGACGAGTCTCATAACCTTTATTTTAGTGAATTTTATTTTTGAATTTTATTTTTCTCAAAACGAAACTCTCACTTGATTTAGAACCCGAAATAGATCGTGTAGTAGATTTTGAATATTGTTTATAAATTGGAAACATCTTTCCATTACTTCCAAAACCTTTTTATATGAATACTGCTTTTTATTTCTTTTCACTTAACCATACATTTATGAAAAATTTCCAGCCTTTGATCTATAAACAAGGAATAGACTCGTAACATTGTTGCGAAAGCTCGTAAATATAAGTATTTTAAAGTAGAGAAAAGTCCGTGTATAATTCTACAAAGAATAGGCTGGCAGGATGTTTTGAATGTGGTAAATTTGTAAATATAAAGAATTATTTGAAAATTCCGAGACTATTTGATATATCATTTGAGTTATACCAATTTTGGGGAATTCCACCCCTTATAAGTAAACCTGGGCAAATCTGTAGTGGACTGTATATTTTATGTAGAGTCTTTTGAAACGTATTTTACTCGCATAATAATCCTATATTTAGAAACAGTCTAGCAAATATTAGAATATTTTAAACATCATAACACATTATTATAAGGTTAAAAACACTTTACTTATTTTTTCACAATTGTTTCAATACAATAAAATACGGAATTTTGCTGATGTGTTAAATTTGTAGAAATAATTGTTTTAACGTTTCGAAATTATTATTAATTTTTAGAAGCCAATTATTGAAATTAAGATTATTTAAACATTCCACTTTTGTATCTACTATCTACAGAATGTCAAAAGAATCGACACTTTTTAATTTTTTATTATCTTTTGTATTGCTGTATTTTATAATTTATTGTTAATCTAAAAAAAATCTGGATTTTTATGTTTTTATATTCAGCTTGTTCTTGAGAAAAACGTAAAATTTGGCTAAAAATTATTATTTTGGAAAGAAGTTTCAGGAAGTCAACATTTAAAAACGTTAGAAACCCCCAACGACAATAAAGTTTGCGATACTTTTACAGATAAAAAGTTTTAAAAAAGGATGTTTAGTATTTCAAATAATACTTAAAAGGAAGTGTGCATTTCCTTCACTGAATGACATACGTGGAACCTAAATCTGTGACAAAAACAACAAATACCATGTTATTAAATACTAAAAATATTTATATATTTCACGATTTTTATTCAGTTATTTAGAACAGTTATGCATCTTTTGTTAAATGTCATTGTCTCTGTCTTTTCAAGTATGCTTGGGTACTAGTTCTCGAATGTATAAACCCAACGACTTAAAAAGCCACAACAAGAACCTTCTGGAACGGTATACTAACTGCACGTATGTTGAAGGAAACTTAGAGTTGACTTGGTTAACTGTAAGTGTATCTCTCCTGTTCATTTTTAATTTATAAATTAAATAATTTGTTATGCAAGTGTTGAATTATAACTCCTGTGACATGCCTTGTGCTGATCCCTCTGTAGAATTTATTAAGGTTTTTACCAAATTTAATATAAAAGTTATCTTATTAGAAACACGACGTTAGTTCTTTGTAATGAACAATTATTAAGCTCTTGCCATCGTCACTAAGTTTCGATCAATCTTGGCAACTGTTTGATATTAAGAGAATAGTGACAGAATAATTGTAATGATGCAGAATCGGACAGAATATATAAAATTTACAGTATAATCGTTTTTTTTTCTTAATTTCGCGCAAAGCTACACGAGGACTATCTGCGCTAGCCGTCCCTAATTTAGCAGTGAAAGACAAGAGGGAAGGCAGCTAGTCATCACCACCCACCGCCAACAAATAGTGGGATTGACCGTAACATTATATCGCCCCCACGGCTGAAAGGGCGAGTATGTTTCATGGGACAGGGATTCGAACACGCGACCCTCAGATTGCGAGTCAAGCCATGCTGGGCCAATATAATCGAGTATTAATATCTCATTTTTACATTGTTTCCAAGGTTGGTTTACTGTTACCTCTGGTTCATTCAGTTAATTAAGAAAAAGTGATTTCCAGATGGTCATATTTACATGATCCCCTTCTCTCTTCTACGTAGATTATTGTTGAAGAATATGTTTCAGGTGAAAAACGATTACAAAACCATTTGTTATTAATAAATATATATTAAACTAGTTTCATTTTCGTAGCCTTTCTCCAGTAGGTAACAAATTTATCATATTACGGTAGTTTCAGATAGGATAGTAAAATAGTTTTCCTGGTTTGATTAACTGCACATTTACGTATAGTTACCCTTTTGTTTATATATATATATATATATATATATATGTATACCGACTTTATGCATTGACTAGCCAAACAATAGAAATATTAAAACGATTCTATTTCATCATAATGCAATCCAACATAATTATTTAAATACTTTATAAATTAAATATGATTCCTAGATTTATAAGAGAGACGTGATTAATAAAGTTATAACAGAGGTGTGATTGAAATATTATAATACACATGTGATTAATAGATTTAAAACATAAAAGCTTCTTTGTGTCGAAATTTTCGCGTAAAGCCGCCCCTAATTTTGGACTGATAGTCTCGAGGGAAGAAACCTAGTCAACACACTCGTTCGCTAATCTTGACTCGCCGAAAATATAATTTGACCAAGAAATTAATCCAGTTGTAGAATGAAAAATCCGATAGTCAGAAACCGCAGAGTAGCCTACGTATAGTCCATCTGTAGTGTAAGCTACATCTTCACGTGTTCATAAAACTTGTGGGGAGGAGAAGAAATACACGGATGTGGGGACGTTATTATGTAACGGTCAACCCCACTATTCGTTGGTAAAAGAGTAGCCCCGAGAGTTTGCGGTGGGTGGTTTTGACCAGCCGCCTTTCTATCACTGATAAATTATGGACGGCTAGCGCAGATAGCCCGAGAGTAGCTTTGCGCGAAATTTAAAACAAATCAACCAAATCTTCCCAGGTAGTTTGGTTCCTCCCGTAAACGGCGACTACGATAACCTTTGGTTTGTTAAATAATATATATTGTAATAATAATACCCAGTGTTTATCTGTCCTGAAAATGCGCATGCACCTAATTTCAACGGATGTGAATATACTTCGGTAGACATTTTGTCCAACAGCATATTAAAAGCTTATCAATTTAAAAAAATGTTTAACGTTAAGTCGTAGAATAAAATTATAAATATATTTACTGGTATTATTAAGTACGGTAAAGTTCAGCCCTAACTAAACTAAAGCAAAAAAATGTACAAAAGTTACATCGTTAATTTATCTCTACCGAATATAGGCATAATAAAGGCTTAACTAATGTTAGGCCTAAGACAAGTGGATTTCCAAATTTGAATCTTCCAATATGCATTTGCAACTTTGCCGCCCGTAAACAGACATAAGAAAAATAAAGGGCCTTCTAGCTTCGGGAAACCAAAACCTATCATGAGCAATATCTACTTTACTTAAACTTTAAAGAGTGTCTCTTACCAGCATCGTCCCTTATCCCAACATTAATTTTTCACAGTTGTTTTGTAATCACATCAATTGCATTATTGCAATAGTTATCTTAAAACCACATTTCTTGTAAATACTCAATCATCTTTCATAATAAATGACAAATTAATTTCACTCGCTGCTAAATAAATCCTTGGTATAAAAACTTCCTCCTTGACAGGCTTTTATTTAGCAGAAAAAGTCCCGAAACTTAGGAGCTATTTACGCCTATATTAGTGATTGAATTCAACTAAAATGGGAACGGGCAATCAAAAGAGGAAGTATTATAGGAGGAAAAGTGGAGTTGGGCTCGTGTAACTCACGAAATCCGGACACCTGGCTTTTATGATTATTCTAGAAATCATGTATTTAAAGAAGTAATGTTGCAATAAAGATATTAATTTGACCGTAAATGTTTTGTGGATCTATGCCAGTATATAAAAATATGTATTTAGGCTCACCATAATTATTATCCCACATACACTACATAACCGTATTTGTTTCTTGTTTGTTTTACAAAAACTTGTAACAGATAACATCTAATAGCAACAGCAACATTTTTATGTATTTGCTTTAATATGTTTCTATAGGACGATATTGATTTGACCTTTCTACATGACGTAAGGGAAGTCACGGGCTATGTCCTGATCTCATTTGTAAATGTTAAAAGGATTGTATTTCCCAGTTTGATGATCATTCGAGGTCGTAAACTGTTGATGGTAAACGGAATGCTCAAGAATCAATCTTTTTCCCTTTTTATCAACCACAGTTCTATAGAATCAATACAGTTTCCAGCACTTAGAGGTATTTACTTTTAGATTTTTATTTTTTAGTAATGTAATTCTGTTTTGATTCCATTGATCATTTTTTCAAACTGTAAACAAAGTTATATGTTACTTATAGAAGGCTTTGCTGAAGGAGAATAGCTTAATTAGAAATGGATGACAAATTATGTGATACAAAACGTTTATATAAACTAGAATTAGCTTTTTTTTTAGCTTAATAATTTTTTTTCTAATAATGCATCTACAAAATAAAAAGCATACTAACGGAGATCAAGATTTGGATGCAGCCCAACAGTTACAATCTGAGTTATAAACTAAACAGCCACTCAGGATTAACTAGTTATTCTCTTTAATAAAACCTTGTGAGAATTCCAATCACATCAAATGAAAAACAGTTTTTTTTTCAGTGTTTTTACTATGCTTATTGCCTCTGATATTTTGGTCTTTAGGCTTGTAATATTTATATACATTAGTTACAAATTTTAGAACATTACATTTGTATTTTTCATAGTAATCGAATTCTGATGTTTATACTTATGGTTTATAGTTACCCTCTGATGTTTCAGCTCCAGTGCTGTTCTTGTGACATTTACTCTATTGTTTATTGCCCTTAACCTGAAAGTCATAATTACATATTATTTATTGCTTGACACCGCAATTTCTAACAAGTCACTGAATAGATGGGAAATGCCAATCTTAGACCATACGTATTAACAAACTTTCCCAGCCACTTTAGGGTTTTCAAAATAATATATAAATTCGGAACTAGTTTAAGTATGTACAACAAATTCTTTACACTATAGAGATCATAGAGATATCATAAACACTATACGGTTCTTGTCAAAAAGTCCACTTAGGCCTATTCAATTACTTTAGAATTTCAGTTCACAAGCCGAACTACCTTTTCCTATTTCTATCGCACTAGTGTTCTGTGTATAATTCACTTACAACTGTGGCGCGAGTTACCACAGTCTTATACTGCTCTTCCAGTAATCGTTTGGTCTCCTTTATTCAAAATATCCTGTTCCTTTTGTCAAAGTGCACTCAGGCTGATTCAATTACTTTAGAACCACGCTTTGACGGAATACATTGTAATTATCTCCTTTTCTGTTGTTAGTCTTACTCTAACATATTAAACGTTAGGCCTGTCACTTCTACGGCAGTTAACTTCACGCCGAACTTTCCTCGGCCATGACTTTACTCTTTTCTGCTATTGCCTGTCTGGTGTTTCCGCTCATCTTACACTATTTATATCTCTACCACTTAATCATCTGGCCTTCTAGAAATATCTGTATTCTCGACGTCAATGTATTACATGCAACGTTCAACAATCTCAATATCAATGACTTGTAAACACAACTACAATCGTCTGCTTTTAACTCTTATTATAACAAAAACTAAACAATAATAACATATTTACTCACAAAAATAAATTAATCAATAATATCTAAACTAAACAGACTTTTATATAATATCACTTATGAATCTATCCTTCTTCTTCACATGTGGTGCCCAAGTACTCTGTTCTATCTCTCCTTGCTCCTTCATGACTTCTGTTTCTTTAAAGGCCTCAGCCTGTTTTGCAAGTAGGAGTCACCTGACTAACTGATGTACTGGGGCTTTATCTCCAGTATCAATTTTGCAGGATATTTTACTTGTTAAGCTTAAGTCATGATATATACTAAACAATCATAAAATATTCACTCACAAAATAAATTAATCAATAATATCTAAACTAAACAGTCTTTTATGCAATGACAGTCTCGTGGTTTACTTTCTTTGTTTTGTTTAATTAATTGCCTGATTAATTTTGTTAGTTTTTCTAGACTATTCTCAGGAGGAATTGAAGTTTCAGTACTACAGGATCTAATATTCCTGTAACATCTATATGGCCCCTTTAATAGTTTATCTGCATCTTTGATGGATTCCAGTTCCATCACCTACTCTGCTTCAGCCTAATTCTCATATCCTCATCTCTTATGGCGTCTATAAATTGCTCCCGTTCAAAGAATTCTATCATCTCATGACATGCATCTGGGTAAGATCGATGGGCAAGCCTTTCAAAATCTTCTGCTAGTTCAGCTAAAGTCTTTTATTTCCTTCCTATCCTATTCCAGAACTTTGCTCTTAATACTTCTTTCTGGTGTGACACTCCAAACGTGTTGGACAAAACAGCTACTAATGCTGTTATGGCTTTCAGCTGGCTGGTTACTCAATATTGTCAAAGCTGGTCCTTTTAAATGGACAGCAAGATGGATAGCTTGTTGTTCACTATTCCACCTGTCCACTCTTGAAATTATTTTGAACTGAGCCTGGTAGTATGATTTCAATTCTGTACCTTGAAGTAGATGGTGTTTTTGGTTGTAATTCTTGAGCTTATACGGAAAGAGGTGTGTCTATTTTAACTTTTGCATTTAACATTTCGTTTTCTAGATGCTTTTTTTTTCTGTTATTGATGTTCTTTTCCACCTGAATTATGCTCTATTCTATTTTTCTCAGTTTTATCATTACTTCTTCAATCTTGTTGTTGTAATCTTTTTGTACATCTTTAATAGTTTCATGAATTTTGTCTTCAATCAGATTTATGTATGATTTTTATACTTCTTTAAATAGTTTGACCCTTTCTTCAAGTTCTTCTTTTAAATTATTGTCTCATGGCCTTTTAATTCCCTGTCACATTCTCCTTGATCATCTTTCAATTTTCTTGAAATTTCTTCTTGGCTTTCTTTTATTTTTCAATTTCTTTCTGTCCCCCTGTAGAACAGCGATGAGTTTACTAACAACGCTAAACTCTAGGGTTCGATTTCCGCGGTGAACACAGCAAATAGCCCAATGTGGCTTAACTGGCTTTGCTCTAAAAAAAACAACCTCTTTCTTCTTCTTGATCTTCTTATGTATTGTCTCTTTCTCTTTTTTCTTCATTCAGTTGTTTTATCATTTATAGCAGGTTTCCTATCTCAGTTTGTGTCCTTGTAGTAATTTTTAGTGAAAGTTTAATCAAAATTCCACTGTATCATCACGAAAAATAATATACCACTCATAACAACTAAACAAGTGTTGTAGCATGGTTTTTTCGTAGGCTCGTTTTTTTAAACTATCTAGTGAAATAATTCAACGTTTAATCTGGTTACACTCACAACTTAGTTTTTCCTCCTTTAAGTTTAATGTTATTGCAAGCTGGAACACTGTTGTAACTTGTAGGCCTAAGGTTTAGCCACGCTAATTATACTATGTAACGTAGATAAAAATCAACTTACTTGTACAATTTAGCGTGATTGGCAAACACTATCAACAACTCTGTTCTAAAATAATTCTTCTTTATCTTAACTAAGCCTACTACTACTAACTTACATAAAGTAACCGAGATAGATAACACACAGATTAACTATTATATCTCGAAATAACTCTACCTTTTATGACTATCATTTTAACTAACTCTACTCTTCAATATTATCTTTAAATTATAATCTCCGTTGAGATGCGGTAGAAAATATTTGACGTAAAATTTGAACTATCTAGAATGCACCCTCTACTTAACAAACAAGGTTTTGGTGGCTACAGTTTTCTGAAATTAGGTATAATGAGTATAAAAATATCATATTTTCATATGCTTATCAAGAGAATAAAGAATTTGTTAAAAATTAAGAGGTAGCAAGAGTAAAAAAATATCCTTTCCTAAATACTTCACAATTTGTTTTTGAGAGGATTAGCCCTCTGTCGACATATTTGAGCTAATTCTGATTTTTTCTTCTTGTATTCCCTTAGATATCCTGAATGGAAATGTTGGTTTTGTCAACAACATTAACATTTGTTTCATTGATACCATAAAATGGAATGAGATATTAAGTGGACAGAGCTCTGAAGCCATTATATATAACAGTACCAAACCAACAGACCGTGAATGTAAGTAGCTATAGCAATCGAACATTAACTTTATGTTAAACTCGGGAGCATACTGAGATGAAAAACGGTCGGGAAAATTATTTTTATACTGTACTAACCCTTCAGTGATGTCGAAGGAGAGGGATTCTTGGAAAACTATTCCGAGTACTGCGCTGATGCATAGCCTATAATATGTACCAGTACTGTTCACACAGTTCACAAATTAGAAATACCTTGTACACAATTTTCCATTTTTCAACTTTTATTACATCTACTACTCATCTAAGTAAAGTATAGACCTAAATGACCAAACCATTGCTGCAACTAACTCACTCACTCAAAAAAATAAATAATTAAAGAGTAATGTATTATTATTATTATTACTCATTTATTACCCGTTTATTACTCATCTGTTACTATAAGCCATTAACGGGAAGTTTGGCGCCAGATTATATTGTTAAAAAAATAATAATTTTACAATTTTTCTTAATGGACCACCGACTCAATGGGCCCCTGGTTAAACGCTAAACAAATAAACAATAAACAAAGATATCATATCTGATCTTTGACTTCCTTAGCAAATTGGACAGAAGAATGACTGGATGGAAGAAAGCAGAGGGGTGTTACAAATAGAATTCAGTCAAATTGGATTAATGTTACAAGTGGAGTACCTCAGGGCGCAGTTTTAGGACCTTTGCTCATTTTGATTTGCATCAGTGACATAGACGAAGGAATGGTCAATAAATTACTTAAATTTGTAGATGATATTAGGTCTTGGGTGTTGCTAGCTGTGAAGAAGATGCTATTGATTTACAAACGGATTTAGATTATTTATTGAGTTGGACAAATAAATGGCAAATGGGTTTTAATTATAATAAACGAAAGATAATGCATGTGGATTATCAGTCTCTTAATTAAGCCATCCAAGCAGTGTGCTGTTGCTTGTGGTAGGGCAAATAGGATATTAGGTTATATATATAGAAATACTGAATAAAAAGTCTAATAAGGTTATTATTTCATTTTATAGGTCATTGGTTAGGCCACATTTTAGTATTGTGTTCAGTCCTGGGCTCCTTACTTTTGGACATTGAACTATTTGAAAGGGTTCAGAGGAGGGTTACTAGAATGGTGCCTTGGATGGAGGGGTTATCATAAGAGGAGAGATTGAAATCTCTCAAATTGTTTTCGCTTGAAAAAAGAAGAGTTAGAGAAGATCTGATTGAAGTGTTTAATATTATAAAGGCAATTGACAGTGTTGATGCAAAATCATTTTTTCCGTACTTAACAGTAAGAATAGTAGGACTAAGGGACACAAATATAAATTTTGGCGAGGTAGGAGTTATCTTCAGCTAAGACAATTTTATTTTTCTAACAGGGTGGTTGGCCTTTGGAATGGGTTGCCTTCCAATGCTGTGGAGGCAGTAAATTTAAGTGAGTTTAAGAGAAAGCTTGATAAGTATATAAATGATAAAGGCTGGCTTTAAGATTTTTTTTAAAATTTATTTATTTAATAGTTGTAGTTTAGTTTAGAGGATGGGATAGCTAAGATGGACCAGTAGGTCTCGCGTTGTCTCAAAATTATGTTATGTTATTGTTGGCCAGCTGTTTCTCATAAACCTTTTTAGATTTCCTAATTTATTTTTTAACCAGCTCCCTATATTGCCTATAGTTCAGTGAATCTGCCAATTAAACTTCTATATAAAAGAAAAAAACAAATAACAAAAATTCTGAAGTAACAACTATATGTACAATGATGGTTTTAGGTCCAAATTGTCATGAATCTTGTGAAGTTGGATGTTGGGGGAAAGGACCTGAAAATTGCCAAAGATTTTCCAAAATCAATTGTTCCCCACAGTGCTACCAGGGGCGTTGTTATGGTCCCAATCCTCGAGAGTGCTGCCATCTCTTTTGTGCTGGAGGTTGCACTGGACCAAAACAAAGTGACTGTTTGGTAAGTTATAAATAAGTGTGATAATTTTTTTTCATATTGGTCTTTAAACATAGACAAGCTTTTTTTTTATAATTTGCATAAAAGATTTTAACATTTCTAAAATAAATTACTAGATTACACAATAGGTAAACATAATCTTTCAAGATTTTGCTAAATGAATTTATAGTAGAAAGAATGTAATGATACAGAGCCAACAAACTGATATCATGGGAAATATTGAATTATTGAGTCAGGTTAGGAAGTAAAGTCAAGCATACTGGATAAGTCTTAATCAACAGTACCTTAGCTTCTGTATAATGTTTATTTGTATTTTTTTTATAAAAGAATTTTGAAACGACAACAGTCTTCTGATATCTATATGTTAAATAACATAAAGAAATACTAACTGCAGTTATCAGTTGCTAATAGCCACTGTTAAAAAGTAAATGCATGACTTTCCAAAGTTTACTGACAATAAGATTGCCATTTCTGTTTTTTAGTTGTTATTTTTTTACTAATAATGATCTTTTTATCTTTTGTAACTGTTAACCTGCTTTAAATATTCAAACCTATTATTCTGTGTTTTAAGTTCTGGTCATAAGTTATTTTTATGCTATAATTATTAATCATTGTTTGTAACTAATACTAGAGCAATAAGCCTATGTTAACATCAGATAGCAGTATCTTTTGTTATTAATATAATACCAAATTAGCAACTGTATGATATACATGTTGACAAGATTCACTTAACATGAAAGTAATGTAAATATAATTCGAGACTCAATTATGTACGAATGCTGCTTTATAGCATTAAAAACTCTAGGATATTTACTCTATGAAAGAATTAGATCGAATTTTTATGTTTTTGTGAGATTTTGGCTCTGTTTGCTGGAATCTTCAGTAGGCAGCATGCTACTAGTGGTTGAGTACACTTGATCAAATAGAATTTTGTAATTTATAAGCTGTTTATGAAATTTCATATAACTGTGCTTAATTGATCAAAATTAACTTTGTGATTAATAACACAGTAAACAAAAAATATAAAGCCATGGTTGCAATCCTATTTAAGTGATTACACAGTTGACAATTTTTTCAGTTCTTCTCCCCATTTCTCTAGTATATGACTGCTTAAGTCTGTAATAGTCAGTGACTCCAGAAAAATGCATCAAAGGGAGTATCTCAAAATTTTCCCATGATATTGCAACAGTATTTACCCTTGCCTTGTGCCATACCTTTAACATAATAATCAATTACATTTTTTCAGTTCCTTTATCCAGAAGTAAAAAGTAAATGTAAGGAATACCTTTTAATCAAGCAGCTTTATCTATATAAAGTAATGACACTTGGATAAATCATGAAAATATGACTGATTTAATAAGGACAGAGATGCTTAATATAAGTTGAGTTTGAAGTATGGTTGATAATAATATACACTCTTCACTGATTGAAAAGTTTTTTTTTTTCTCTAATTTGTTTTGGAGTTTTTTACTGGAGGAAAATTTCTGGGTTTACAGGCTTGTCTCAATTTTCATGATGACGATGTTTGTAAGCAAGAATGTCCTCCAATGAAGCGTTACAATCCATCAACCTATTCGTGGGAAGACAACCCTAATGGAAAATATGCTTATGGTGCAACTTGTGTTAAAAATTGTCCAGGTAACCACCATAGAGATTTCTGACATGTACACTTGAGTTTTGGCTTTAGAACATTTTTAAGTAACATTTCTTTCTTATTTATATTTGCAGTATAATATTTTTTGTAACTGAGAAAATAAATTTGAAAATTTAGAAGGATGAAATTTTTTATTATAATAATTATTCCTACACAGAGAAAGGAAAGTTGTAAAAAAACTTGATATTTTGTTCTAGAATTTAAGATAACTAAAATTGTTTAGCATTTTCATGAAAGAAAGCTTTATGGAGTATATCACCAAGATGTAAAGCACCAATTATTTGGTGTTATGAAACAAAGTAAAACATACTTATTGAAAAAGATTGAGCAAAAAAAAAGAATTATTTTTTAAAGTCTAGGCTGATTTTTTAAAAATATTTAAGTATTTAAACATGATTTTAAGGCTAAAATCTTTTTTAGAATTAATAAATATGATTTATACATTGTTTATTCAGAACATCTGTTGAAGGATAATGGAGCCTGTGTACGGTCATGTCCATCTGACAAAAAAGCTGTTAATGGAGAATGTGTGGCATGTGATGGTCCTTGCCCTAAATGTAAAGTTTTATATGAATTTGTTTGTTTTTTGCTAGAAGTTAGTGAATGTAATAATGTTAAAGTATGCATATTGTTGTAGGTCTCTAGGTTTGTTATTGAAGGAATTCATTTTAATAGTAAAGAGTATAAAAGAGCAGAAAATTCAATTTTCCCAAAAAATATTCTAATGTCATTTAATATTAATCCTAGATCATTATGACAGTGATAAACGACTTTATTAAGAGTGCTGACTCATAGTTTAATGTTGTTTTAGGGAATAGTTGAATCGTATTCTGCTGTACCCTACATATTGCTTTGTCCTGAAGTATTATTTTCTGTAGAGAGTCCAGTAAAGGAACTTATATATTGTTTAATAGGATAGTGGAATTGTATTCTGCTTTATCTTGTGTATAGATTCAGCTTCAGATATTACCTTCTATGGTAGCTATAGTTAAGGAACTTATGTATTGTTTCATGGGATAGTTATGTTGTATCTTACCTTACATAGTGTATAGATTTAGCTTGAGTTTTATTTATGTTTTGAAGGAGTCTGAACATGATGTAGAAGTTCCATCTTTGTTCTTCAATCTTCTGATTGTGCACCTTTCCAATATTTCCAATTTTTTAAACACAATAAATCAGTTGCTTTATTTTTAATTTTCTTTGTGTCATAATGCAATAATCCACCATTATTTTAATCAGCTTTTCTTAAATAGTGTTTCTTTTTATTCCATCTCCAACACTGTCTTCTCTCTTTCAATCCACCTGTTACAAATCACTGCACTCATTCTCCCACATACCAAATCACCAAAACACTTGTTTTTGCATAGATTAGGTAATTATTTGATAGTTTATTCTTTAGACTATCATGTAAGTTCTAGTACACTTGTGATGATAAAATATTGCATAGTTTAAAACTTGTGAAAATGCAATTCATGATTAAAAAGTGTATTGATGATCATAATTTATATGCAGTTGAAGAATGCATTTAAGGAGAAAAGGCAACATTAAGATAAAATGTTTGGCTTAGGTTAATGGGGGTATGTGTAAAGTGGCTGCCAGTTTTCATCCAAAATTAGTATAAAATTGAGGAGTTTATGTAATAAAGAATAAATGTCACTAGCATTAGATTCTATGTTCAAAATATTTTACAATGAAAACTAAGTAGCTTACTCAATACAAAAAAAGGCTGTTGCAGTTTATTAAAATGTAGTATAAAATTTTAATGAAGTAGAAATGTTGCTATGATCAGATTTTGGTATAAGGTTAAGAACTCTATGTGAAAGGGGTCACAAGACATTAATTTTGTTTTAAAATTAAAATTTAGAAGTGTATATAATATCAGAAAGACATGTTACTAAGTCTGTCTACTCTAAAATATTCATTGAAAAATTCATGCAGTATCAAAAATCATGCATGAAAAAGAAATGGGGGCATAACAACTGGATTTTGTTTACAAATACATAAAAAATTGCTACTGCAATTGGATTTTGTTATAAAATTAAATAATAGATGATATAAAAATTTAATTTCAGTGTCAAATTTTTGATTGGCAATAAATGTGTTTTGTAATAGTTAATAGACCAGTAATATATTTTTAAAAGAGCAATATATTATGATTATCTTTGGGCTTAAAATCCATGGTACTCAGTTGGTAGAACATTAGTTTCAAAACAGTAGCCATGAGCTGAAGGTCCGAGGCTCAAACCTTGGTCAGAGCTTTTCATCAGTTGTTTTTTTTTTGTACTAATATTTGGTTTCAAACTCCAACTTCTTGCATGAGTTTAATTACAAGTAGCCAAGTTTTCTCTCTCTAGTTTATTGTTGTTTTATTTTAGTGTATGGAAGGGTTCATATATCAAATAAAAAAAAAAGTAGCTGCTTGTATTATGGGTAAGTGTTTGTACTTTACTGAAATGTATGATTTCCCAAATTATGGTTGCAAGGGACCATAATCTTACTGAAGCAAGTAGCTGCATGAGTCATGATTGCAGGTTATATAATAATTTAAAATGTATAAAAAAGTCATAATTGTATGGGTCTATATATATATATAAGGTGTTGCAAGGGTTCATTCCCCTTTTAAAGAGGGTAGTCATGTGAGTCATGGTTTACAATGTGTTTTCAGTTTCTTCATAACGTCTCACCTTTTGTACATGTAAAGAATACACTTATTAAACTTAAGATCTTAAAGCAGGGGTGCAATAAGTATTTTCCAAGGGGCAGTTCAAGAGATGATTTTAGGCCCATGAGGCAACAAGGTTTAGCCAGAAAAAAACTAAATATTATGTAAATACAATACAGCAGTACTGAATTACTAACAGCAAAATAAAACGAACCTGTTTAAATGTTTAATTTTTTTACGAATAACAAAACAAAGTTTTAACAAAACAATTGTTTATGATGTAATTCCGTTTGTAAATAATAATAATAATACACATATAAGACAAAAAAATTGCAATGCAGTCATAAACAACATTAACTGTGTTAAAATATATTGAGCATGTACCACTAACAAACTATTTTTTATGATAGCTAATGACACATAGTAATGAAAAAATAACAAATACACAATGAACTTTATTCAGGAGTGTTAGTTACATCATGGCCCATCAAGCTTTCATCCTGACCCTTCTGCCAATCAATTTGTCAAGGCTGTGTAGCTCTGAGGAGTCTCACCTGTAAATAATGCACTTGTAGATTTTTACTTTTAAATTTCTCTACCCATCCCAAAAGTATAGGTTTCTATTTGCTAAGAAATTATCATCCTTTGAGAATATATTATCTATGTCTTGTTTCTCTTGTGACTCTTTTTTATCTTTTAATGCTTTTATTAGTCCACATCTTGTTTGCCACCCTTTTATGATGTTACATCATGTGGTTTGAACAATTTCTAAGGAAACAAACCTTTGAAAACACATAAAGAGAACATTTGATCATGATTGGGTAGAACAGGGAATCATTAATTCATAAGTGCTTTATCCTTTTTCTAGAATATGCATACATATTTTATAAGAAATACTACTGTGAAAACCAAATTTATTTTTGTGTTTTTTTGGGCACCTGGGCCCAGGTTCACTACTTTGTTTGAAGCACCCTTTCCCCATTAGTATTACTACTCTTTTCAAGACTTGTTATTAGATTCAACAAATTGACATCTTTGTTTGGTAATAACTTAATCTAGAATATTACTTTTTTGTACAGTTTTTTATGACATTTGTATATATGTTAGATTTGGGGTCAGTTTTTAAAGGAATATTTTTTATTATCTCAGTTTCTTTATATTTTAAATATTTTTTACAAAAATAGGAACATTTTGCTATCTTGTAACAAGAATTGCTTAAAGAGTATATATTTTTAGGTCATGGAAATATATAAAAGACACTGTGTAATATTTAGTGTCTAATAATATGTGAATCTCTGCTGCTTTTCTCACAGCTTGCACTGGTGTTGATGTGCTACATTCTGGAAATATTGAGAAATTTCGTGACTGTACCATTATTGAAGGATCCATTACCATACTTGAGTCAACGTTTGGAAGCTACACAGATTTTGAAGAGTAAGCACTCGTTTTTTGTTTTCAATATTGTAAAAATAGAAAAATTATAATATTTTTGTTTCTTTGACAGATTACTAATTTAGAAAGTAAATTCTAATTTGCTGCTTTTCAATACAACTTTTCTTTTCTTTTTATAAAATTAAGAGGAAGTACTATAAACTATGGAGCCACGATATCTTTAAAAACTATAAATTAGCTCTTATAATATGCAAATGCACACATGATCAACTGAAAAAAATGAGCATCGGGAACGAAACCCAATAAGTTGAGTACTTTTGAAAAGTGGACTTTCTTTCGTCAGGGGTAAAAGTGCTCTAGTTATTGAGTTCCTTTTCTGATGCTATGAAATAAACATGTCTTACCAGCATTATTCCTGTTTTTATTATGTACTATCTTATTTGTTTGTTTTTTTGTAACAGTATGGAAGTAAATATGAATTAGCTTTTCTCACAGTACAAGAATGTAACATACTTAATTTACAAAGTAACATTGCACAGGTAACAGCTTTTGATGTTGCAACCATTTTCTGTTTCAAAATTTTTATTAGAAATAACTTGAGTGCCACTTATAGAGTTATTGTGCATTTTAACTGAACCTCAAGACCTAAAATTCATCTATGTAAACATAATAATACTGTCTGTTGTATTTCCATTTAACTACTTTGCAGGGTGTGGATGGATCTTCACCAAAATTGGTATGGAGGCTCATTAAGTCCATGTGGGGTTACATACAAATTTTCAGTTTTGAATTTTGTGGTTTTTATGTGCATTTTTGTGTTTTTTACCATTACTTTGCCTGTTTGTGACAGTTGTTCACCAAATTGGTGTGAAGGTTTGTTGGATGCATGCGAAGATACATGCAAATTTGCGGTTTCACATTTTGTGTTTTGCTAGTTTTTATGGGTTATTTTTGCGTTTTTTACAATTACATAT